TGATCACACAGCTAGTAAGTGCTAGAGCCAAGACTGTAAGTTCTCTCTCTCTCTGCTCTCTTGCAATGTGAGACCCTGGGTCACTGTTGCCACCACCAGATGGACTTTGGACTTCCCAGCCTCAGAAACTGTAAGCAATAAATTTCATTTCCTTTATAAATTACCCAGTTCCAAGTATTTTGTTATAAGCAACACAAATGTACTGATACACTTCCTGAGTGTGTTCCCTTATCCATAAAGTGGGGAAAATACCTACCCTTCAGGGTGTGGGAGTATAATACATAATAATATATATGAAAGCCCAATGCCTGGTACATATTAGGAGATTAATAAATGCAGTTTCTTTTTCTCCTTTACTCATTTTCCTTCTCTGATTTACCCCAAGTTAAAGATGTTTTCTCACAAGTATATAACTCAAAGAGAATAAAAATTGTATCTTATCCACTGCATTGTACTAATTTTTATTTCCTGTTGTGTTTTATCATATATATTCATTATTTTATCTACCTTAAGTATGCTAAGTAGCCTTTGTGAGTTGACATGGGAATGTCATTACCACTTACAACACTGTTTCTTTGTCAAGTCTAACCAGTGGATTTACCATGAAATTTTTGAATGTAATGTGTTTTGACGTCAATCGTAGAAGGCTTCTTTCTTTAAAAACAGGAATTCCATTGAGATGTGCTTATGATATTTAGGTTTCCTGAAAAGTCAATACAGATATCCCTAACTTACGATGGTTCAACTTACAATTTTCTGTCTTTAGCATCATGCCAAAGCGACATGCTCAACTTACGATGGAGTTATGTCCAAAAAAACTCAATTGTAAATTGGAAATATTGTAAATCAAAAACTCACTTTCCACTTACAATATTTTCAACTTAACAATAGATTTATCTGGACATAACTCTGTCATGAGTTGAGGAGCATCTGTACTTCATTCTACTTCTTATAAGTTTTTGCCCTTGTTTTTAAAATAAAATACTACACCTAGACCAATTATGTTATCTGTGCATTTATTACTGCTGTTAAGCAATTTGATTATGACAGTGTTTTGGTGTATGTTTCTTCTGCTTGTTGTTTGTTAAGGTTCTTGGTTCTGTAGATTTAGGATTTCCATCAAATTTGGAAATTTTTTGGCCCTTATATATTTTGGTTTTTGCTTCCTCTCCCCACCATGGCCAGTTACAGGTATATTAGGCTGATGGAAGTTGTCCCGTGGCTCACTGATGCTCTGTCATCTTTTCTTTTTACAAGTATTTTTTACATCTGTTTCATTTTGCATAGTTTCTATCCAGTATATTTTTCATCTCAAACATTGTATTTTTCATCTCTCTGTTCTGCCTTAGCCCCTCTGAATTCTCAAATATGTCCCCTCAGCTCAGGGAGTCTGCTGACTGTTTGGGTTCCCCCTCCCGGCACCCCAGCCTGGAAACTCTCCAGATAGTAAGCTAGGCCAATGCCAGCACTCATCTCATTTGTTTCCCTCTCAGGGCTCATTGTCCAGTGCTGCCTGTTGTCCAGAGTCTGAAACTCACTTCATATATTTTGTCTGGCTTTTTAGTTAACATGGAATGGTAAATCTAGTCCCTGTTACTCCATCATGGTTGGAAGCAGAAGTCCTCTGTATGTATTTAGATTCGTTAATTTGATCTATATGGTTTTTGTTTATGCTGATTTTGTGAGTGACAGGCCTCTTTCGAGGCTTTCATTTTTTAAATAAGCACTCTCATTTTTCATTATTCCATTATGCAATTGATGGGACAGGATTAATTTGCAAACCATAATTAATTTAATTTTTCATTGGTTCCTGGGTAGCAGAGGTAGTTAAGTCACTGGGACCACACACCCACCTGTCTGGGAAGTAGTGCTCAGGGTATCATCAGGTGTGTGCAGAGACAGATGCCTGGGAAAGGTCTGCAGAATGGAGGTCCTGGACAGAGCCTAGGGCTCTTGGGAGGGAAACTTGGAGCCATTTGCACTATTTGGCTTGGAGTATAAATAGAACTAGAGTCTGAGGATGGGCTGGTTTCTGTCTGGCAAAGTCAGATCTATCCCCCCTCCCCACAAAGTTTTACTGATCTTTCCCCCTTCATCTTTCAAACCTGTCTCCTCTTTCTTCATCCCATGGCCACTCCCTCAGTTCAGATAACCATATTACTCGGGAGATACTGCAACAGCCTCCTTAATAAGTTTGTTTTCACTTCCACACTGCTGCTTAAGTGATCTTTCTGAAGTACACAACTGAACAACTGATGGTGTCACTCCCCAGTAATAGCTCCCCACTGCTCTTAAAAGTCCGGAATTCTGGACCAGCCCATGGCTCACTTGGGAGTGTGGTGCTGATAACACCAAGGCCATGGGTTCGGATCCCTATATAGGGATGGCCGGTTGGCTCACTGGGTGAGTGTGGTGCTGACACCACCAAGCCAAGGGTTGAGATCCCCTTACAGGTCATCTTTAAAAAAAAAAAATAATAAAATAAAATAAAATAATAATAAAATAAAAATAAAAAAGTTCCAAATTCTTTATGTGGCCTACAAGGCCACGCCATCTGCTAAACTTCAGTTCATCTCTCCAGCCTCATCTAATGCTTCTTTGTTCCTCGCACTCTATACAACTGATACAACAAAAAAGATGTTTCACGCTTTCTGGCCTTTGCATGTGCGGTACCTTCTGCCTGGAAACCCTCTCCTTTTCCCTCTCCTCTCCTCCCCTCTTTGTCGCTGACTATCCTATCTTTAAATATTGAGCTTGGATTGTACCTTCTCTCAGTTGTGCTCTCACAGCAGCCTCTTGTCAGGACTCACCTCAATGTATGGTAATTCCTTGTTACTTGTTCCCCCACCTCCCACCCCTCACTCAGTAGTAAACTTCTCTGGGGAAAGGACTGTCTTTCTCACTGTGATTTCCCCAGTGCCTGGTACATAACAGGCACTTGGAATTTGCTACACGGACATAAAAATCTATGAATACACTGATGCATGACAGACAAGAGAACAGAAAGGCAGGTAGGGATAGCTTTTTCTACAAATTAGTGACTTAAAAGTCCAGGCAATTTTTACTTTCCCCCCAGTTCACATCTCTTTACTCTGCTTATTTGATGCTGCCAAATTTTCAAAGGTTGAGATCCCTGGAATACAGACTTTGAAACAGAGTGTATGCAAGAAGTTTATTGGGGGAATGCTTTCGGGAACACCTGTGAGAAAAGGGGCTACAGGATGGTAGAAGGAGAAATTAAGTAATGAAGCCTCCATCCACCCCACAAAAGAAGTCTGCAAAGATCTTTCAGAGATGGTTCCCATTGAAGCAAGGTGGCCAGGCCTTTGAACCCATCCCCTTTTCTCATGCTCCCCCAGCAGCCCCACAGATTAGATGTGGGCTGCTCCTAGGAGGGGACATAAGCTTGGCTAAAGCAGCTCTCTATAGCCTAGGGTAACTCCTGGAGAGGGACAGGTGTCAGCAGGCAGCACTCCTGACAGCATACAACAGCATCCACCACAAGATTTAAGGCTTCTCTTCCAGGACTGGCTGGTTTGCTCAATTGGCTGAGTGTGGTGCTGATAACACTAAGGTCAAGGGTTTGGATCCCCATACCTGCCAGACTCCTTCCCTTCCATATGAAAGCAGGTGGAAGAAACCACTCCCTTATGAACAGGAATGTCAAAGACTGGGCATGTATGAGATGCTTATCAAATACTATTTTCCTTCTCTACTTAACCTATTCCCTGGGTGGTTTTTTAGATTCTGGAATATTAAGACACACTTGGGACACTGCTGCCTTTCAGCAATTTCATATTAATAATATAAGTTAACATTTTTTATTATTTTTTAAAATTTTATTTATTTATTTATTTATTTTTGTCTTTTTCGTGACCAGTAAGGGGATTGCAACCCTTGGTGTGGTGTCGCCCACACTGCGCTCAGCCAGTGAGCACACCGGCCATTCCTATATAGGATCCGAACCAGTGGCGGGAGCATTGCTGCGCTCCCAGCGCCGCACTCTCCCGAGTGCACCACGGGCTTGGCCCTATAAGTTAACATTTTTTAAACACTGACTGACCTGTTTCTGTCATTGGGCTAGGCATTACTGCCTTTAATCTCCATTTATTACCTATAGATAGATACTATCGTTTCCTTTTACAGAGAAGGCTGACTCAGGAGAGAGACTTGTCCAAGGTGTTATGGGCTGAATTGTGTCTGTGCCACAAAATTCATGTTGAAATCCTAACCCCCAGTACCTCAGAATGTGGCTTAATTTGGAGACAGGGTCTTTAAAGAGGTAATTAAGTTAAAAAGAAGTTATTAGGATGAACCCAATCCAGTATGACAGGCATCCTTATAAGAGGAAATTAGGACACAGATATGGAGAGGAAAGGCCATGTGAAGACACAGGGAGATGACCACCTACTAGCCAAGGGGAGAGGTCTCAGAAGAAACCAATCCTGCTGACGCTTTGATCTTAGACTTCTAGCCTCCAGAATTGTGAAAAAATAAATTTCTGTTGTTTAAGCCACCCAGTCTTTATTATGGCAGTACTTTTATTATGGCAGCCGGAGCAAACTAATACAAGGTCAGTACAGCTAGTAAGTACTGGATCTGGGATTTGCACTTGCTGCCTGCCCCAAGAAGCCACACATTATTGCTGAAGTGATTCCTACTGCTTATATGGGTTCTACCAACTATTAGCACTGTGTGCTCGTTAGGTGAAGACGGTACAGACTTCTGCTCAGCAGATACCGCCTGAGCAGAACAGAAAATGCTCTTCCCTTTTAAAGATGTTCTAGGAAAGAACTATTGTGCTCTTTCCACCCTATCCAACCCCCGAGCCAGTCTGTCCTCACAGGGCAATTTCAGAAGGGGCTGCACTACTCAGTGGCCACACCTAGGGAACCATGGTACAAGAGAGACTTGGCAGCAGGAAGATGGGGCGGGAAGAGGCTCTTCCTCTACCAAATGCCCAAACTCCTTGGCTCAGTCTGCAAGTCCCTTCAAGTCCCCAACAACAGCTCCAACAGTCCACATCTTCATTCCAGGCAGGGTTATCTTGCTTCTTGCCCTTTCTTACTTCTGAGATTTTTCTGGTGGAGAGAAAGAAATAGGAATCGACTGAAATTTGCACAAACATATTTTTCTCTTCCTGTGGGTATCAAAGTACCCTGCTGACATGTGCACTTTGCATTTCCCTTTCATAAGAGAGCCTTCCCCAGATGTGTAGCTGAATAGACAAGAAACTCTGCATGTGTTAGGCAGAAGATGATCTATATTTCCAGCCCTGATAGTCTCCCTTCAAAGCACCTGGGTATCCACTTCCTTCACACCTGATCACCAGTATTCACTTCAGTGTATTTGTTATGAAATCTCTATTTAGGGTATTTATATGGCATCCCTATGTTGCCCATCAGGATCCTGAGACTAGGAACAATCTGTTTCTTTTTGTCTCTTGCTGTGGACGAAAGACCACAATTTTATTAGCAGGTTCAAGTTCTTTTGCTTATTCAGCTGCAGAGCTGGGTATATCCTGCTATCAGAGTGAATTCCAAAATGCACATATGAGCATGGCACTTGTACACACAGAAATAGGAACAGATTATTATCATATGATCATGGTGCCTTTAACTCCTAGGACTCCCTGAAGGATAAGGAACTAATTCCTGTAACACAATCAAACTAAGCACACAGAACATCTGCTGTTGGAACAGCTTCCTTTACACTAACAAAGTTACTGTGGATTGAATATCCCCACAAAACTCTTTACAGCTTGATCTCCATTGTAACAGTGCTGAGGGTGGGAAATCTGACTACGGTATTTGAAAGGTGGGGCCTTAAAGAAGTGATTAGATTATGAGGACTGTGACCTTGCAAATGGATTGATCCATTCACGGATGGAGTAATGGGAGTGGTTCTGATGGCTTTATATGGAAGGCAAATGAGTTTAGTTTTCTCTTGCCATGTGATACCCTGTGTTGCCAGAGGACTCTGTAGGGAGTCCCCATCCTGAAGGCCCTCACCAGAGCACTCCCTGGACCATGGCCTTCCTAGCCTCCAAAACTGTAAGAAATAAATTTTGTTCCTTTATAAATTACCCAGTTTCAGGTATTTTGTTATTAGCAACAGAAAATGGAGTAATACAAAAGTCAAAAGAGATGGTTTCAGGTCAGTATTTTGCCTATTAAATATTTTTCTGGCTTCAGTTCTCCTCAGACTGATGAATACAGGGCACTACAGACAGAACGACGGCTATTTCTGGAGAGACCACCAGCAAAGCCAGAGCTCTAATCCATACCCTTGACCTCTTGTCCTCATCCTCTGCTTCTCAGAATCCTGTTTTCCTCTTTCTGGGACCAGAACTCTCCTTTTCTGGTCAATGAGCAGCACTAGGTTGCAGGAATGAGATGTTTCATGGGGTGGGAGGCTGCTCATTGTCTTCTCAAATTTGTTCTCTCCTCCACAGTGTTTTAACTGGGCAAATGGCCATCCTGCTACAGGTGTTTCCCAGCCTCCCTGGAAGATTCATGTGGCCACATAATCAAGTTCTCACCAAGGATTGGGCCACATTTCATGACACTTGCTGGAAGGGAAATCACATGTCCTTGTGACTATTACTTCGATTTTTCCTGTGAGCTGGAATATGGACATAGTAATGAGATTCACTACGCAGACAAAAACATCCTAGCCTAGGGGACGGAAGTGCAAGATGGAAGGAAGGTATGTGGGTTCCTGAAATATCTGGTGAATCTAAACTGAACTTGCTCCTAGACCAGGGCTTGGCAAACTTTTTCTGTAAAGGGCCAGATAGTAAATATTTTAGTGTTCGTGGACTACATAGTCTCTGTCACATATTCTTTTTAAATAACACTTAAACATGTAAAAACCATTCTTAGCTTGTGGGCCATACAAAAATAGGCCTTGAGGGCCGGCCCGGTGGCGCACTGGATAAGTGCGCCACTTGGGAAGCGTGGCGGCGCTCCCGTCCGAGGGTTCGGATCCCACATACAGACCGGTTCCCGCTCACTGGCTGAGCGAGGCGCGGGAGCAGCACTGAGGGTTGCAATCCCGTTGCCGGTCCCCGGTCCGGTGCGGGGGCAACACTGAGGGTTGCGATCCGTTGCCGGACACGGAAAAAGACAAAAAGACAAAAAAAAAAAAAACACAGGAAAAACCTTAAGGTGCTTATAACTTTTATGGGATCTAGTCCTAAAGTAGATCAGACAGAAGTACAAGTCTGTCTGGAGATTTTCTCACCTTTAATACATTGGGAAGGCTCTTTTCTGGCATGAACTCTCTGATGTCTAATAAGCTCTGAATTCCATCTGTAAGCTTTCCCACATCCTTTACCTATAAAAGGTTTCTCTCCACTATGAATTCTCAGATGCTAACTTAGATAGGAGCTTTGACTACAAGTCTTCCTGCACTCATTATACTCATAGGGCTTCTCTCCCTCCTGGGCTATAGTTTGCCAACGACCTGCTTACCTTTGGACATTTATGTGAAAAATAAACTTGTATGTTAGAGTCAGGGAAGGCTTCTCAAGGAGGTGACTTTTAACAGAGATCTAGACAAAGGGAGTGACTTATATAACTATCTGGGGGGGAAAGCATTTAGGCAGGGTGGATAGAGAACATGGACAGAGGTCCGGAAGTGGAAATGAGCTTGAAACATGGGCCACTTATCAATTTCTTGCCTCCTAGCTCCAAATCCACATTCTTTGTCCTACTTTATGACATTGGAGCTGGATCTGTAAATGCTTCCCCTTTGCCAGCTGGCACAATGTTAGGCTTTGACAGTAAATGGCACTGGAGGTATTCTAGTTTAGTTTTTTTTTCCATCTACAACCCTACAGTGCGGTTGCCAGTGGTGTGCAGGAGACCCAGTAGCACCACCCTCTAGTGAGTTCCACTGGTACCTCAAGCTTCCTGCTCGTCAGCCTTGGCCTGCTGAACCTCAGTGAACTTCACCATCCAGTGGGCCATAGTCAGTATTGTGTTGGTAGATATTTAACAACTAGCTCAAAAACAAAAACATCCCTGATTTGTCACTGATTTCCATGGTGAATATTCCCACTATGGCTAATTTCAATGCAGATTTGGGAAGAAATATGCAAAATTGGCTCTTGAAAACCTGTATAGACTGGTTCTAGCACACCACAGGAGCAGCCATACCCTGTCCAAATGAGGTGCGAATTTCAGTCTTGGTCAGGGTGGAGGGGTGTCCTCCTCTAAGTTGGCTTTGTCCTTGAGTATTCTTCCTCAGCCCTAGAGGTAGGAGCTATCCCCCATTCTGCTATTCCTATATTCTTTAGAGATCTCTTTACCACCTTTAGCAGATAATCCCCTTTTACTAATTAATGCTTCTTTATATTAAACTTTCCTTGCTCAAATTACTAGTGTGGTTTCCGTCTCCTGCCTGGACACATGCAGATATGACCCCATCTGAGGAGGCAGACCAGTATGGGTCTGAGATAGGCCAGGACTAAAGACCTGGTCACAGTAGATAATATAACCACTACCTGAGCAGCTGCTCTGCACCAGGCTCACAATGCTAATGAAATAGGCATTACTATCCCTGTCTTACTGGTGGGCAAACTGGGCAGCACAGAATCTTGCCCAAGGTCATGCTAGAAAGAAGCAGCATGGCCTTTATATGCAGCCAAAGGCCTCCTAATTGATACAGTCATCTTAATCAAAGGACACAGAGTGATGATCTGCAGGTGGAACTACTAGCCAGTTTTTCCTAAATCAAGAAAAACACAGGAAAAACCTTAAGGTGCTTATAACTTTTATGGGATCTAGTCCTAAAGTAGATCAGACAGAAGTACAAGTCTGTCTGGAGATTTTCTCACCTTTAATACATTGGGAAGGCTCTTTTCTGGCATGAACTCTCTGATGTCTAATAAGCTCTGAATTCCATCTGTAAGCTTTCCCACATCCTTTACCTATAAAAGGTTTCTCTCCACTATGAATTCTCAGATGCTAACTTAGATAGGAGCTTTGACTACAAGTCTTCCTGCACTCATTATACTCATAGGGCTTCTCTCCTGAATGAATCATCTTACGGTAAACAAGATGAGCACCCAACCTGAAGGCCTTCCCACATTCAGTACATTTGTACGGTTTTTCTCCTATATGAATTCTCTGGTGCTGAATGAGGTTTGAGTTCTGATCGAAAGTTTTCCCACAGTCACTACACTTCCAGGGTTTCTCTCCAGAATGTTCTCTGGTGGATTACAAGGTGTGAGTTATAAACAAAGGCCTTACCACATTCACTACATTCATGGTCTTTTTTCCCTGTGAGAGTTTTCTTATGGGTGACAGACATCTGCCTGAAACTTTTCCACCTCAGTGTCTCTGCTTTGGGATTTCTCTGCTGCTGTTCTAAGGTGCCCTCAACTTCAGAGGTAGCTTCAAATGTAGAGGTTTCAGTGGAGAGTTTTCCTGAGAATACCTGTGATTCCACTTCTGTTGTGGGTGGTTGTGACAAAGATCCATTGTCCTTGGGCTCTGGGCCATCTTCTGCAATAATTGATGGAAAATGTAACTATATCTGTTCTGGATATGTGGAGAAATGATGTAAATTAGGATTTACATTTCTGGAATGAGAACAAAAGCTTAGAAAATATTTGCTATACATATGACAAAGACTGGAAGGATTGTTGCTTTGCCTCACACAGATATGTCACCTCTTTTCCCCTGGGTGATGGAGCCACAAAAAGATTACTCAAAGCCCACCTCTTCTGAGCAGTGAGAGACCCCAAAGGGGTTAATCTCCCAGAACCCTCGAGAGAGGCATTCCTTCTTTTGGGAAATTAACCACGAATTGGGGTTCTCGCCCCACATTTACTCTCCAGACCAGAAGTTACAGGAAAAGAACATAGGTGGGGTTTTAGCTAAGTATAATTTAACAATTTTAAAAATAGAGGCTAGTAACATCAGTAAAACAAGCAATGTGACATTCCATAATGCAATTTGCAAAAGGTTAAGTCGATCCACCAACAAAAGCTTGATCTTAAGAAACACTGTTTTTCCCTATAGAAATTTCCCAGTATCTTTACATATCATCAGTAACTTGTCTGTCCTTGAGCCAGCAACCTTGCTGTGCTACAATTCTTTATCTTACAACACAGACTTTAGCCTGGGGAAAATTTCCTGTCTTTTGCAAGGTTAACATTTGTATATGTACTTTTAAGAAGTTAGGCTAAACCTGAAACTGCAGGGCTTTGGAGGCCCTGTGAAATACACTTGCTTTATAAATATTGGTATATTCCACAAGGATATTTACTTAGATGCAGTTATTACCCATAGCTATCTCTTGGTGATGGGATTATGCAGGGGAGATGGTTTCTTCTTTTTAATTTTATCCCTGCTTATCTAATTTTTCCATAATGAAACACTAAAGAAGTGTTACTTGGAAAATAAAATAAGTTTCAAAGCAGAGTCTTTTTAGGATTCACTCTTAAAAAATAAGAGAAAAAGTAATATTTTCAAGGAATTAGAGAGTGGTCACCTGATGTTGTGAAGGAAGGGAAAAATAATAAAGAAAAAAATCATTAGTGTTAGGGTAAAGAGATGTTACTGAAGGTAGAAACTCTTCACCTCTTCCCATTCATTTCCCTGCCCCATAGATCTACAGCCACTGGAGAGGATCCTCATGCAGCTGCTTCCTTTATTGAAGAGAGGACTGCCAGCTCCCTGCTTCCTATCTGCTTGGTGCTTTCTGCCTCTCCCTTTGACCTGCTCCTTAAGAAAGGAAGAAAAGAGTGCTCTGCCTTTTTGTTTTTAAATGTCTTTAACACATTTTATATTTTACTTGTCTGTAACACCCCCTATTGTCTAAGGAGAACAAAAAGAAACTTCTTTAAGATAACTCAAGATCATTTGATTTTTAAAAATGTACTTTTTTCTAGGTTAAATGCTTATGTGGGACCTAAGCTTCCAAGGAGACCTCAGAGAGCCTCCTCAGAGTCAGCACAGGGAAAGAAGAGGTGCTAGAGTCTCTTTCCCATTCAGGGCTTGAGGGCAGAAAAGAGAGACAGAAATGCAAACTAAATGCTCTACTTGGCCTGAGAGAGGTTTGAACTTGGCAACTCCCCCTACTGCTGCCCCTCTGTCCAGTGCGAACTTCATTGATTTGGCTCCCACAACAGATCAAAGAAATCTGAAATACGCTTGCTATAAAACAAAGTTACACAATAGCTAGCTTCTTTTTAAAAGTAAAGTATCAAGTTGATAAATGAATAGAGGTTTACTAAACAGAAGCAAATGAAATGAGAAAAAGCCTGGAAAAAAGGCAAGGAGAAAAGGAGAATTGGGAGGTAAAAACATACTTTGGGGACAGATTCTAAGATTAATCCTCCATTTCTAATTTTCACATTTACTTGCTAATAAGAATTCCATTTTTTCAAATGCTTTTGTTTGGTGGTGTAAAACCAAATACTAAATAGAATCTTCCTGATTAGCAACATATTCACATTTTCACTAAAGTTCATGATGTTACAAAGGTCAGAAGACATGTCATAGTCCTGAAGCTCTAAGTCTATTGTCTCTAACTCTAGTGTTTGCCACTGGGATAGAGGAGAGGATAGGATGTTGGTGGAGATGTATGCAAGCTGAGAAGGAAGTTTTCGCAGTAAATCTGAAGGGGGGAAGGTAAATACAGACATAAAAGTTTCAAATAGGACTGTATGGATGGGGAGCAGGTGGTAGATAAAGGTGATGACAGATTGTCTTACATAAGAGTGCCTTACAGCTTAAAAAGTGTGTTTGGGAGGCATGCGGAAGCTAAAAGAAAAGGATCTCAAGGCTGACCTCTAGCTTGGGGCAGAGCTATTATGGAGTAGAAGGAGGCAAGAGCAGTGGACATGACGAGGCAGAAAATGAGTGAAATATTTCCCAGTCCTGCTTTAGGGCTCTCTAAAGCTAAGAGATGCTGGCCAGGCTTTATGGCCAAATACGATGTAAATTTAATTAATCCTCAGATTAATTAAATTATGGGTGGTGAACCAGGCTGTCTCTCACCTAAGAGGTAAAAACGGTAAGGCCATGATGATGATATCAAACATGTGAGCACCTACTATGTGCCCTTTATACTCTCCTCCTCTCCCTCTCTCCCCACAGAATCCTGCTCCTCACCACTCTCTGGGAAAGGTTGGGTCTCTTGAGATTCACACCTGAGCTGAGTCTTCTTGGGCTGGTGCTGGGTGCTTAGTGCCTCGTGCCTCCTGGACTGCTCCCAGAGATGCCTTCTTCTCCCACAGCTCTTCCTGTGCAGGTCCAAGTGCAGGGCCTGGGACCTGGAAGTGATCAGGCACTGCTTTTTTATGTGGGACCTGAGCTTCCAAGGAGACTTAAGAGAGCCTTCTCAGAGTCAGCACAAGGAAAGGAAGAGGAGCTAGAGTCTCTTTCTCATTCAGGGCTTGAGGGCAGAAAAGACAGAGACAGAAACACAAACTAACTGCTCTACCTGGCCTGAGAGAGGTTGAACTTGGTAACTCCCCCTACTGCTGCCCCTCTGTCCAGCCTGAACGTCATCTGATCTGGCTCCCACAACAGATCAAATCCCACTTCCCACCTGCAGTCCTGGTTCAAATCCTTTCTCTAAACCCTCCAGTACAATTATAGCCTCTTCTTCACTCTTAGGGTGATGTCCCTGCACCCAGGACTGGAGCTCCTCAGGCAGGATAGTCAGGAATTGTTCTAGCACCAGTAACTCCAGGATCTCCTCCTTGGTGTGTCTCTCTGGCCTCAGTCACTCACAGCAGAGTATCTGTATTTGGCTTAGGGCCTCCTGGGGACCGGGATTCTCCTGGTAGCAGAGTTGCCTGAAGTGCTGGCGGAAGATCTCCTGACTGGTAGAGTGGTTCCCAGGTAGCCCAGCTTCATACTCCCAAGACAGTTCCTCTTCCTTTGGCTCCATCATCATAATCTCTTGTTCCTGTGTACCCTGAAAGGCCAGAGTTTTAGCTGCTGATAGTGATACAGCCATCCTGGCCTGGTCTAGCTCTGTAGAAGGCCCATACCAGCTGTAATCTTTCAGGGGCACCCTTTAACATAAGAAGAAAGCATTCTTCTTTTTCATTCATTAAACAAATACTCAGCATCTACTAAGAGCCAAACCTTGTACTATACCCTTTACTCCCTCTTTCTCGTCTGCCCCTCCCCAGAATCCTGCTCCACTAAGTAACTGCCTGTGAGAAACCTGCAATCAATCTAGTAGAGACAGACATGTAAAGTGGTTTTCTACAGTACAACTAGATAAATGCCATACAGGAAAAAACAGCAGGAAAAAAAAAGTGTACTGGGGGCCCTCGGGAAGATATGACTATTGGGAAGAAACAAGTTTGAAGCAAAACCCAAGTTTCCAGATCCAGAGCCCAAAGCTGAGCAGCTCTCAGAGGGCAGCCTCCTCCCAGATGGCCCCTCCACGCTTTCTCAAGCTTCTGAAGAAGGGCCTACAGCGAAAGAAAAATGGAAGTCTCTAAATCCTCCAGTATAGGCACAGCCTCTTGTCCACTCTTAGAGTGATGTCCCCGCACCCAGGATTGGCTGGATCGTATTCAAACGTCCAGGATTTGTATCAGGGCCCTGTGACGGGGCTGCTACGAGCAAGACTTGGTCTAGGGTACAGTGTCCAGCATCAGAGAAATCTAACAGGTAATTGGGTGGGACGCACCCAGAGGCCATTAAAGGAGAACAAAGCGGGACCGTTGGCCGAGGACAAACGAGGCCCGAAGACAAACGCACAGCCCGTGTCTCCGTCGCAGAGTGATGCCCCGGTGGCGACAAGGCCAGCTCGACTGCTACGCCTGGCCGTGGGCAGGTGCTCTCCCGAAAGCCCTGGGGAGAGGGCTGTGGTCCAGGCCAGCTGCAAGCTTCTCCCTCGGGATCTCGAGGAAAGAGCAGAGGGGCACAGAGAGCCGCTGTCGTCCCCAGCACGTGACAACGCAGGCAGCGGGGCGCGGGAGCGCCAGGGACCCAAACCCCCGTCCGTCCGCACAAACCCGCGAAGCTGCCTGCGAGGTCTGCTCACTGCAGAGCTGCCGCTGCCTGCCGTGGCCGACAGAAGCAGGCGGGCCGTGGAGCTGGACCTCCCGACGGCCGCCACCAAGACTCACCTCCCAGGACCAGGAGGTTCCAGTGGGCAACTGCCCCGCGCCGCGCCGCTGCCAGCCGCCCCCCGACCCCGGCCGCTACTCCGCGCCTGCGCAGCCCACAGCCTCAGCCTCCATCTCCCAGCAGCCTTCGCGCCGCCTGCTTCTGCTCGCGGACTCGGGCACCCGCGCTTGGCGGCCGCCAGGGGGCAGCTGGGCCCGAGCCGACGCGGTCCTGGGCGTGAGCGGAGGCCCTCGGCAGGTGGAGAGCTCGCGGCGCGAGCGGGTTCCTGCACCAAGTTTGGCGGGCCTCGTCTTTCTTCTGAATTGTACCTGCAGGGACTGTGCAGGCTGCCAGAAATGTCAGGGAAATCCTAGCCTTGTGCACGGCCTGTTGCAGCACTTCCTCCTCTACACTGTTTTCCAGTTACTCTTTCCCAGGCGTGATCAGAGAGTCACAGCCGAGAAGTTCCCCTCAAGGAGAAAATATTCCCCAACCAGCGGCCTGCCTGTGTCCATTGGTAAATAAAAAGTAATTCCTGGGGCGTAGGGTGAGGGGAGGAGAAAAAATAATTCTAAGGTTGATAGGACTTGTTGATAGGGGAAATTATTGGTGTCTTGTTTTCCAGTAATAGTAGAGAAATATCCATCCCATTATGAGTTTTAGGAAAGGTGAGGTAACCATTATGAGAATGGAAAAGTACAGTAGAACTTCCAAATTAACAAGAGAAAAAACAGAATGCACTGTAATTTGCACAAACCAGCAAAAATAAGAAAAAGAAGCCACTTGGTTCAAAAGAGGAAATCAAAAGCAAAATTACAAACTATCTAGAAGGCAATGAACAGAACTTCATGCTAAAAGCTATGGGACCTAGCCACAGCCATATTTCAAAATGTATAGCTTTCATTACCTCCTTTATTAACAAATAAGGATATACGATAACTCAAATTTTGTCTTAAATTTTAGTCAGAATTTTTTAGTCACTCTTTATTACCCTGACACTTCCAGCTCTAGTACTATGACACTATTTTTTTTCTTTGGCGGCTGGCCAGCATGTGGATCCTAATCTTTTTTTTTTTTTTTTTTTTTTTTTTTTAAAGGATGACCGGTAAGGGGATCTCAACCCTTGGCCTGGTGTTGTTAGCACCACGCTCAGCCAGTGAGCAAACCGGCCATCCCTATATAGGATCCGAACCCGTGGCCTTGGTGTTATCAGCACCGCACTCTACCGAGTGAGCCACGGGCCGGCCTTGGATCCTAATCTTTGACGTTGCTGTTCCAAGTTGTGCTCTGAGATAACTGGCCAGCCCGTTTTAAACTTTAGAAGCCCAGTAAAATAAGCCAGAAGAAACAAGTAAGAGTGAATTAATGAAGATAAAAACTGTAATTAATGAAATAGAAAAATTAAAAATAGTAGATTTTCAGAACTAGTATTCAAATTCAAATGCTGATTCCTTTGAAAAGAGCATTAAAACAGATAAACTTGTCTAGAGCCTCATTAAGGAAAAGAGAAGTAAAAACTAACAAGGTCAGGAATGAGAAATACCACAGAATCAGGAGAGATTAAAAGAATTAGAGACTATGACATTCAACATTAGGGTAGCATATTTGAAAACCTAGATGAGATGGATGATTTTCTAGCAAAATGTAAATTACCAAAATAGTGTGCACCAGCTACATGTTTATAAAACCCTGACTTAGGGGTAGATGATCCCAAGAAAGTGCTCCAGAGAAATTTCATTCAAATGTAACATGAAGCACTACCTTCAGGAAAACGTTAACATTTCTAAATGGGAATCATTAAAATATTTAATTAGAAACTACCTACCAAGTTTAATTTAAAATAAGTGTGTACTTTGGCCAAGCAAAATATAGTTTAACTTGAGGTTTTTTTTCTGCAAGGTATATAGTTTATATCTAGAGGGAAAAGAAAAGCAAGAAAGAAAACAACACATACTATCCTCCTGTGATGAATATAATTCATCTTGTGATGAATAAAAAAATAGACAATTACAAACTTGGACATTTATTTCAAGCATTTATTGAGCAAAAATATATATGTAAATCTAAGTCTGGGTTGGAGGTGAGGGGATACAAAAATGTAGTTTTCTGCTTTCAAGAAGCTAAAATTCAAGGGCTGTCCAGTTAGCTCAGTTGGTTAGAGCACAGCCTTGTAATACCAAGGTCAAGGGTTCAGTTCCCCATATTGGTGGCCAGCCACCAAAAAAAGAAGCAAAAAGTCTAGGTAATTGGGAACATGAAGAAAACAAGAGTACATAAAAGATTTACAGTACAATAATGGCTTCCCGTAAGCTGTGAGATTGAAGAAGCAAAGGACTTTGGCTTGTTCATTCAAACAAATCATACTAAGGTGTTTGAATTTTTCTTATAATGAACAATATAATTTAAAAAAAAAAAGTGCCAAGGCATTTCTCTTTAAAGATCTTTGTGCCCAACAGAAACTGTCAGACACGTTATCTGCATAAAAAGAAAAAGCTGGCAGTTTAAGTGTTCTCTGAATGATACAGGGGATCAGAAGGGCCTGAGATAGTGAACTGGGTCTTAAAAGTTAGCACAATGCAGTGGCTGTTTAGGGACATTAGTTAGAACAGACCTTGAGCTGGAGGGTTTCATGAAATAAAATGGTCAATGGGTACCTTTCAGAGAAACCATTTTATCCAAGATTCTAAACAAATTTCACAGACAGAGAAAACAGTCTTTCCAAATGTGTCCTCTGTTATTCAAGGCCTTCTTCATCATGAGGCTTAGCTCATGCCCAACTATACAGAATATGGTCATAATGTCACATTAACAGAACTTTAGGTCTATCTTCTAATCTCATAAGCTTTAAAGGTAGGAAATAAGTCCCTCCAAGTCTTTATTTCATCTCTTCAAGGAAGAGATGGTTTGGAAGAAGGGAGCTGGATATAAGGAGTAGATTTAGTAATGACTATTGCTGGTATGCTTGGTGAAAGTAGTTTTGATAGTGTTGAAGGAGGATCCTAATGGGGTGAGGAAGAGAGATAAGGATTTGGAGAAGATGAGTGCAGACAACTCTTTAAACAAAAAATTGGCTACAAAGGAAGATGATATAGGAGAAAATATAGGAGGTGAAGTTGAATTTTGTTTTTTAGGATGGAATACACCTGAACACATTTTTACATATTTAGGACGGGAGTAGAGAAGAGGGTTGAATATACAGGAGAGTGGGATAACTGCATGGAGTGAGGTTCTAGAAGGAGTGGGAGGGGATGGGATAGGAAGCACAGGTAGAAAGATGAACCCTAGATATGAAAAACAGCAGTTCTTTTATTGAGAACGGAGCAAAATGGAGTGGATGCATGTGAGAGATGGGTGAGGGATAAGGATGGGAACAGAAAGTTGAAAATGTTTCTGTGTGAAGGTCTGTAATTCCTTTTGGAGGTAAGGGATCTGGTGCTAAGATGGGGTAGTGGGTTAGTGGTTAGATGTGTAAGGAGAGAAGGAAGGTGTTAAGAGGTTGCTACAGACAATGGGAGAGAATGCTGACTAGAGATTGTATTAGTGTTGAGAGCCCAAAGGCATACATTACCTAGGGGTATGGTTTTCTTCCTCAATTCAGGTGCATACTCAGAAGAGGACAATTAGGACTGTCCATTGTGGGCTTTGTTGTGGCTAGGAACATAGGACGATGAGGCAAAAAGGTAAATGAGGCAAGGGCATGCTGGTAAGAGTGGTTGACGCCCATTGAACAATAGTGTCTAACAGAGAAGGGTAAAAACCAGAGAGGGATGATGGATAGGATAAAGTGGAAAGGTCACTGGACTGGAGATCCTGATGAGTTAAAAGAATGCAAAAATTAAACCATACAACAGTGCCTTGGCTCCTTTGAAATACTTCCAATGGTCCAAAGAACCTTTCTCAACTGATAAAAATTTGCCATCTGATATGAAAAAGTTAAGACTTCCTCATTCTCTCGTATTACCTTCTCAAAAGCAGTTAAGCCACCTATAGCAATTAAAGTTCTCTCACTATCAAATTTGCAGGGTATTTATCCATCCCATCTCTCAATAGTTTCATATAACAGCTTAATTCTAGTCTCTCCAAGAAAAATCTTCATTCAACTCTGTAGTACTATAGTAACA